AACAGGCAGATCGACGAAGTACACTGCTGAGGGGAGCAGCGGGCGGGTCAGGAGAGGTCTGCCACGCCATGTGGTCTCCTCTGGGGCAGGCGGGAATCAAACTCATGCGGAAGTGGCTTTAGCTTCTCAGTGCAGTGCTTTAACCTGCTGCGCCACCAGGGAGGGCCCGCTATTATATGCATTTTATATATTACATACATGTATGTATGAGAAGTTTAGGAAAACTACCTAAAATCAGACACCTGATCTAGAGAAGTCACCTGACCTGCTGCATTTTGTATGTGCAGCTATTAGTGAGGTTTACCACCACTAACTCTACACCCCTCCTCTCCTAAGGGGTAAATAGGAATCATTTAAAAGAGGACCATAACAATCTTACGTTTTTTTAATCATATGTTCCCCAAAAATTCTCATTTCTTGTCACGTTTGGGTCAGCAGACTTTTTTTGTACCTTTTGATAATAAGGATTATTAATTTTACACCTTTTCTATTCTAGTTGTTGGGAAGGTTTTGGAAATTACGGAACTGCCAGATGGAATAACTCGCATGGAAGCCGAGAAGCTTTTTGGGGAACTCTTTAAAATTGGCGCCAAGATCCGGTGGCTTCGGGACCCCCAGTCCCAGCCCCAGCTGCGTCGTCACCCCCTCTGCTGTGGCAGTGGGGACAATGCTGTCAACCCTGACCGCTCTAAGCCCAGTGACTTGGCCTCCACATACACCGTCTTAGCCACATTTCCCTCCATTTCAGCTGCACAGAATGCATTGAAGAAACAAATTAACTCGGTTAACAAGTTTAAGCTGAGAACAAGCAAGAAGCACTATGACTTTCACATCTTGGAAAGGGCAAGTTCTCAGTAGCAGAGCCGTCTTGGATCCTTGATCTTTCTGATTCCCCTGTCTTCTCCCATCATTAATTGGCTTGGTATTTGGAGCTTCTGTTAATATGATAGAAACTCCTAGGATATGTGGTCATGGCGTTATAGCTTTTGAAAACAGGCCAGTGATCCAGCTGAGTGGGGAGGGAAATACACTTTTCACTCCAAATGACTGTAGGAATCCACATCAGAATGATACAGAGTTAGCAGCTTCTTCTGAGGAACTACTGTTCAGATGCCTCCTAACTTTTATAGTTATTTTGTTTTGTATTTCTGAATTCTTGTATCAGATCCAAAGCTTTATTGTACAGCAAATTATTCTTCAAAATGATTACAACCAGTTGCAACCTGTATTTCTTTTTTTGTAGCCAGCACAGTGTAATCCAACATAGAATTTGGGGGAAAAGAATTCAGGAGTGGAATAACCAAGTCAAAACCATGTGCTGTCTTTTTGAGGGTATGGGGAGTGACTTAAGGAGAACTCACAAATATAAGATTACTCCTCCCCCATATCTCCAAACACAGAAAAATTTTCCAGATAATAACAGAATTCCGTCATAGGATCCTTTCCTTATTCATTCAAGTAGTATGAACATTAAGTGTAAAGTAAATTATGTTTTCACTGCCTCTTAATCAAACCACTTAGATTCAAAGGGGAATTGTCATCATTCTAGGTAAGAAAATACTTCCACTTTTTCTGTGTTGTCTCCTGCCAATAACTAAATGCCACTTCTTTGTATTCCCCTCCTTGTGGATGTTTAGTCATCTAACGCAATGCATTAGATGAGTGCTGGAAACTTCTTATTAAGTGGTTTAAGATATGTTTTCATTGTTTGCAGCGGATCACTGGACATCAAAGATTCATTGCACTTACGAACAAGGAACCTTTTTTTCACTTTCTGTGTAATTTGCAAGGCTGTACAATGTGTGCTGATGCAAGCCTTTTCAGTTCAAAAGAATAAATGTTTACAAATATAAACCACTTTGTCTTTTATAAATTAAAAACATCTTTTAAAGTGAATTGCAATATTGCAGACTTAATAACTCTCAAAGATTGACATTTCAGGCTTATAGAAGATGTAAGACAGCAAAACACTCATTTTATAAATGTCCTATATAAAGCAGCTCTTTCTCTGTGGAGGTCATCTTTTGTGATTCCATGTAGTTCATGCAATCAATTACAGTTTTTGAGTATGACTAAACAGTCAGACAACTAAAAATTTCCATGGCATTTGGTTAGAAGAAGACTTTGTGTTCTCAGTCATTATATCAATGTACCCATTTGATAGCCAAGTGGAGTCACAAGGCATGGTCTGCCACCTGCAGCTTTTTTGAAGCCTGGTTTGCTTCTAGTCCTGATTAGAAGTTCACTTGCAACTGAAGAGCAATGGGTGTTATCAGATTCTGGTACAGATAATCACTTACTCTAGAGTATTTGCAAGGTCTCTCTTGATTCCAGGGAATTGCAGGTTTCCCCACAAGCTGGTAGATCCAGATTATAAATATTACACTCCTGGGAGCAGAAATGGAAGCTGCCTCACCTTTGAGAGCCACACCCAGGGAAAAGAGTGAGGGCTATAAACCACCAACTTCTAAGACCTACTGAATATTATTTTTTGACTACTGAGAGTTAAAGATGGAGAAGATAATTAGGATCAGCAATACAGCAAGAATTATTCAGTCATACGGGAAGGGACGAGTAGAGAAAAAAAAACAGTCCCACGGTTTTACTTACATTCTCTGAATGTTTTCTTTAATTCCTGCAGTAAGAATCTTGGTAAACCTGTTTGCTTTAAATCCTTGATTTAACCTATAGAAGTTGAATGCTTCCTGGAAGAAAGGTAAGAAACCAGAACTGACCCATTAGGAAGTCTGCTTTTAGCCACTGCCACCTCACTGCCTGACAATCGCATAGAAATACTAATGAAATTGCCAAACTGCCCACATTACAAAAATCTACATATAGTCCCTAGTCTGTATTCCCCTGTTATTTTATCTTCTAGACGCTACCTATTACAACAACAGCAAAAAAAAAAAGGAAAAAGGAAAAGCACACATTGGACTTATTAAGATGTGATTTGAACCATATTAAACCTTTCTAAGGACAGTTCCAAATGTCCCATATCCCCTAGCAGTACTCTTCCCTGTTGTGCGTTTTACCTGAGCACTATCCATGCTTTTTTTAACAAAAAAAATGACCTATTCTTCCAGCATTCCCTTCTTTGAGAATAATAAAGGTCACTTCAAAACTTTCTGCTTCTATTTGTTCATTTACTAACAAGCTAAGACTATGGCTTAACATTTTTTTAAGCCCTCAGACTACAGAGAACATGGATGTATATCATTTTTCATGTAGAGCACAAAGTATTCTCCAAGGTGCCAACGATAATTAAAACTAGTTTGTTATCCAAAAATAATGAACAACCATAGACCAGAGACATTCTGTGGGGGTGGAGTGGAGAATGGGATCAAAAACGGGGGGTGGGAGGGATGGAAATGCACGGAACTATGGTGGTGGCACAGGGGTGATTTGGTGATGGGAAACCCGTGGGGATTACAATGGAGATAAAAAAAAAATGTGCAAAATGATGTAAAAATAAACTTATAAATAAATAAATAAATAAAAACTAGTTTGTTATCTAAACTGAAAACAAAGTAGGGAACTTATTCCAAGCTAAGAAAATGTTTTTCTGATCCCCCCAGGAAGTGACCTCGCCTGTGAATAGTATGGAAACAGGTCTGAGTAGAACCTACAATACCAGACTGACTTAGGAAGAGTCAAGCCTGCTATCTCAAGAGCAGCTGAGACTTGGCTTATCCACATTGTCAGCAACAGAAAAAAGGCAAGTGTTAAGAGTTCAGCAAATGCCAGCTACAGGGCCTTTGTGAAGGCAGCCAGATTCTCCAACCCCAGCCCATTGCCTGCCAGAGAGATCATGAGATGAGGTATGTATAGTCTTAAAAGGCAGAGAGCATGGAGCACATACAGGTATCCAATGTGGTATTAGCTTCAAAGTGTGCCATACTTGATGGCCTGATTCAAAACTAGCAAGCTTGCTTGGAATTCTGAAAGAGTTTGAGTTGCTATTCAAAGAGAAACAGAGTTCCCACATACACATTTAACCCCCTAGACCTTCACCAGTCTAACAAGTAGGTAGACAAAACAATATCCTTTATTATTTTTCTGTCTAGTATCTATACTTGGATTCATTTAGTTTAATTTCATCAGCATAAGATAATGCAGGAGTGTAAAGGAAAAGAACGGGAATTTACGACTCAGAGAAAAACATAAAAGCTGATTATTTGCAGGGAAGCAAATGGGGAAGTAAAAGAATTAAGATACATAAATCATTGGCTCCATAATCCCTCAGTCCCCTCCCGAAATGCTTCATCGATCTTTACTAATTAACAAACAATCCTGTAGGTTGGGATTTTGGGTGTGGCAAAAGAAGATGGTATTGAGGTGCTCTCAGCTGGGGCTCACTCACATATCTGGGACTTCAGATGAGTGGGCCATAGGGACTTACTCAGCTATGATAACCTCAGTTCTCCACATGATACTGAAGTATTTCTTCCTCCAAGGCAGCTCTGTTCACTGACCTTTCTCCAGCAGCACAGCCTAGAGTCACCATGATATACAATAGATAAGCCAAAGAACATACCCATTTTAAATTGAAAGTTTATACTTTGATTACTTTCACCCATTCCCCTCAACTCCCACCCCCTCCTTGGCAATCATCAGCCTACTCTAAATTCAAAGTCGTTCCTTTTTTTTTTTTTAATTCTATATTTAAGTTTTGTCATGCAGTATTTGTCTTTCTCTGACTTATTTCACTTAATATTAATGCCTTCAAGTTTCATCTGTGTTGCAAATGGCAGGATTTCCTTTTTTATGCCTGAATAATTATATGCCTCAAATCTAGTCTTAGAATCCCGGACTGTCACTTTTGTTGTATTCTCTGGTTAAAATATATCAGTCATAGATTCTGCCCACACAAAGGAAATAAGCCCCACCTTTTCAGAGAAGTGGCCAAAAGGCATTTAGGATGGAAGATATGCTTGTAGCCATCTTTGGGAAGCAATTTATCACAAACACAAGTACACAATGAAGTGCCATTGACTATACTTCCAACCACATCCTGAAGCTCACCTCTTTATCTCCATTACCCCTGCCCTGGTGCAAGTTACCACCTTGTTGAACTACTAAAAGGCCTTAACATTTTCCCAGATTCCACTTTTGTTCTTGTGTAGACTAATCTAAAAGATAATCATCTTACATCATTGCCCTGCCAAACTCCTTCAGTGGTTTCCAGTTACTAAAATTGCAAAACTTTTGAGTTTTTTCTAGGCTTACAAAGTGAATTTGATTAGTCCTCTCCATATCTCAACACTCCAGGACTTCCGTACTTGCTTTTTCCCTGGAACTGAATTTTGCCTTACCCATTCCATTATCATTCATATCTGCCACTTCAGCAGAAGCATTTATTAGTCACTCAATCACTATCTTCTACAGTATTTTATTTCAATTTTCTGCATATCTCATCAATATCAGATCTTTTATTTTCTGTCGGTACTAATACAAATTCCATGTGATCAGAGCTTTTGTTTATCTTCTGGCTGTATTCTCAATCACCTATTTATTAGTTGTTCAACATATGTTTGTGGACTCTAATAAAGGATAAGGAGAATCCTAACTTCCTTACTAATCATTCTGCTGGCTGGTATTCTGTTTGGTGATGTCATATGGGAGGTGACTGGAATAGAAATACAATTGATATACCCCTCTCTGGCTCTCTACACCAGGGGCAGGGATAAGGAGTAGTCTTCAAAGAAGTGTAGGGGTAGTAGGGGGCAGGGATAAGGAGCGGTCTTCAAAGATGAATTGGATGGTCACAGGAGAAATAGAACAGCATGTTCATCTGAGCCCTGGGTAATGAAGATCCTAATTCAGTAGGTTTGGTTAGGGCTTGAGATTCTACATTTCTAACAAGTTCCCAAATGCTGTTATATGCAGACCATGCTTTGACTAGCAAAACAGAAGCCACCCCCATCTGAAAAAGAACTCAAAAGCATATGACTAGAGCTGGGACTTGGATTTATATACTGAGAGAAAGAATCATTAACAGCTCTACCAAATCAGTAGTATAACCACACATGGAGACAAAAAACAAGCTTTGCCAGTAAACACTCAATTTATAACTTGACACCTACAATGTCACATCAAAGGTCTGTATCATCCTATATTCGACCCTCACCAAAACAACACCCTTTGTGGTAAAAACCAGATGTAAAATATAAATACCTTTTAAATGCCCTTCCTATGTTTGGGACATTCCCATTATACAAATCCTACCTCAAAGAGCAGCCATGACAGCACCCAACCTCCCTTTTGCTCAGTAAAGCTGCCCCCTTGCATACTTGTGATCCAGGCTTGTGATCTGAGGCTCCATTAGCCATATTCACATCTAGGAGTATCTAATTAGGAAGAGAACAAGGAAAAGAAGCAGGCACTGCACAGAATTCCTTGTTTTAGTTGAATTATATCTGTGTGCAATCCCAAGAGGTTCAAAAACTATTCAGCCTTACTTTCCTGTAAGTGTGTGAGCAAGCTTAAATCCCACATAATTTTGCATAGATTTTCTGTACTACTACTGTTTGCATTACTGCTGTCTTCTATCTACTAGAAGTCCATTTTGTGTTCTAAGATTTTGAATCTTGGTTCCTTTGAATTTTATCTCATTTTTTTCTTAATCTTACCTCATTTTTTTGTCAGATGGAGTTTGAACTTTTCTTGCTTAATAGTTACTATTTTCATAGAACCAAGCTCAAATCCCACATAATTTGACTCTAACTTTCCTTTCGACTTCATGCCCCTGTATTCTGCTACATCCTCCAAATATACTATTGTATACCCTTCTTCCTTCTCAACCATAGCATGTACTCTCATGCCTATTATTCAGTGTCTTTGAGCAA